GCTGATGGGCCAGCTAGCCTAGAACATGCAGTATGGCAGAAACAGGGGCATGCCTGCCTCAACATGGTGGAAGCAAAAACCGATTTCCAAAAGTTGTCCTCTGACGCCCATGCATGTAGTTGCATAAGCATGTCTGACCCCGGGGTATGTATGTGCATGCTCACACATGTGCACACAAATTTTAAAAGTTTTAAATCTTAAAAGAATATTCCCCAGATGTTTACATTGTTTTTAAGCAACGACACCCAACAATGCTTTTTGGTAGAGTTCTGAAGTCTGCTGTTTTACTTGGCTTCCCCAAGGCTTGGGTGGTGCCAAACCAGTATATTTGAAGGTAACAGCCTTAATCTAAACCTTGTTTCAGGTCTGGGACTTCACTGGACACAACTGAGTCTGAATTCTTAGTATGTTGGTTTAAAATCACCCATGTTTGTAGACTCTATGTGGTAGTTTGAATGCAATTGGCCCCCGTAAGCTCATAGGGAGTGGCACTATGTGGAGGTGTGGCCTTGTTGAAGGAAGTGTGTCACTGCGGGGCAGGCTTTGAGGTCTCTTTTGCTTCAGTTTGCTCAATGTCACAGTCCATTTTCCTGCAGCCTTCTGATCAAGATGCAGCGAGCACCATGTCTGTCTGCACGTCACCATGGTTCCCGCCATGATGGTAATAGACTGAACCTCTGAATTGTATGCTTTCACCTCAATCAAATGCTTTCCTTTATAAGAGCTACTGTGGTCATGAGATCTTCACAGCAATAGAACACTAACTAAACACTCTGCCTGTCTTTCTTGTCATGATCTGCAGCAGGGCAAGAAGAAAGCATACTACCTGTTGAGCTTGCCCACCACTTCTCAAGACACTGACGGTGTTAGCACGTGACCAGCCTTCCAAATGTCATAGACGTGGTTTTCTCAAATGCTTTGCCAACAAGTCACCAACTTCCCAGCTGGCAAATGTGTTCTATCCCCGAATGCAGCAAAAACTGACCAGGCTGGTAGCACCTGCTGCCAGCACATGTTTCCATTCGGGGAAGGTTGATATTGCAGGCACGGTGACTTCAAGGCGCTCAGAAGACAGCAGCATGTGTTATCATACGTAAAACTACCACTCTAAATGTAATGACAGTTGCTCAGTTCCACAGGTCATGAGGAGACCTGAGGTCCTTCCCCGTTGTTTCTGTCATCTCCAAGGCCACTGTCCTTGTTGGCCTCACTGCCACAGGGTTGCTGCTATCCTGTGCCTCCCTTCATGCAAGAGGAAGAGTGTGATTGCAGTGGGAGAGGAGGTTCACTAACAATCTTAGGGCCACACAAGAAAGTGGGTCATGGGATTATGTGCTCTGGGACAGGTGAATGGACAAGCAGCCATCAGGAATCCCTGTAGCTTTGGGTATAGATAGGTCAGAGACCCAGTGCATGGAGCCTTCCCCATCTCTGTCCCCTTCATATGCAGGCCACACCCTCTCATTCCTACCCAGAAGCCCAAATAAGCCCAATGAATTATCATGATATATTTTATTATGGTAAGCATTGCCATTTCCCCAAGTACTCCCTAAAATGTCCACCACCCTCCCTATGCCACGTGGGGGCCAAGGAAAAGATTTGGAAGTGCTAGGAACACAATGGATATTGTGAATGAAAGGGTCTGCTAGCCCAGGCTATCCAAGAAGCAGGTATCAACAAGAGATTATGTCAAGAGAGGGCTGGCATGGTAGCTTGGCCATAAAGGCACTTCCCACCAAGCCAGACAACCTGAGTCTAATCCCAAGGATTAAACCGCATAGCAGAAAGAAGAAACCAACTCCTACAAGTTGTACCCATTCACTCCTTGGTACACCTGCCGACATGCACACACACAAACACACACCATACACTAAATTTTGAAGTATCAAGATGTACCTGTGCGGAATGAAACAGGGAGGGACCTAGGAAAGACTGGAGTAGCTGCAAGCTGTGATGTGTGACGGATCCTGAGAGACAGCAAGATGCAGCAATGCAGAACTGAGGCTGGGAAAGGCACAGCAGAACCACCAGCGAATGCTGGGGCCCAAGACTCCCTGCTACAAATTCTTCTTGCCTCCTGAGATCACTAGTCATGTGCACACTAATGTTAGCATCATTGAAGGAGGTGATGGGGTTAAAAGGCAGAGCATCCTCTGACCAATCCCATGTTCCATAGGAAGAACTCTGAAAGGTTCATCCCCAGGGCTGTCACAGAGGCTTAGAGCAGAAAACTAGGGATCTGTATTCTAGAAATAGCACAGGTTGGGATTAAAAACATACAATACCAGGCCATAATGTACTAATTATATTTGGGGTGTGTGTGTGTGTGTGTGTGTGTGTGTGTGTGTGTGCAAAACAACAAGGTCTCATGTAGCTCAGGCTAGCCTCAAACTTGCTATGTAGCTGAGGAGAATGGCCTTGAACTCTTCCCGGGCACCTTGGAGGAGCCCTGCCCCTAAGACTTAGCTCCCTCTTCCACTGTGCCAGGCACCCACATACCTGGCCTGCTTCCTCAGGCATAGCCACAGTGAAACTTCTGTGTTTCTCTCCTAGCCCCTCTCTGGGCCAATGACTTTACTGTGCATCTTTTTCCGTCATCTAGCAGAACTGCTACTTAGAGACCAAACTAGGAACCTGAGGCAAACAGAATATCAGTTCTATGCCTGTAGGTAGGGACCTTAGCTTAAATAAACGTAGGTTCGATACCCAGTAGGATTTAATTAAACTGAGATGCAGATCCATTTGTACTGACACTAAAGGCAGATCCATTCTTCCTAAATGCCCGCCTGTAAGAGAATGAGCTTTGCCCTAGAGTGAACAAGTATTTCCTCAACAGTCGACATCGGATAATCCAAAACAAAGTAGAAGTGGTGAAACGAGCCTGTAATGCTAGCGCTTGGGAAGTGGAGGCTGGAGGAGAAGAAGTTCAAGGCTATCTTCAGCTGCATTGAGATCTGAAGGCCAACTGGGACAAATAAGACCCTCCCCTGTTCTTATCACCCCCACAAACACACACTCACACACACCACCACTACCAAACATATGATCACCCCTCAGGGGATTCCTATGATGAACTCATGGCTTCCCTGCTGCCTCTCTCTCTCTAATTTCATGTTCTTTGGTGTTTTGCCTGCATGTATGCCTGTGTCAGATCCTCTTGTCCTGGGGTTGCAAACTGTCATGTGGCTCCTGGGAATTGAACCAGGGTCCTCTGGGAGAGCAGTCCGTGGCTATCTCTCTAGCCGTCCCCACCACCTCTTGAGTCACTTAAACCCAGCTAACATCTGAGAAGTGGTTAGCTGGCACTGGTTCCCCCCAGTGGCTGAGCAGAGTGCCAGAGGAACAGATATGGTTCCTCCAATATTCCTCCATGTGAATGAGGCCCATCCCTGGAGATACTCACTCCAGGAAGGCCTTCAGTGAGGTGGATGGATCGCTCAGACGCCTGGAGTAAATGACTCTTGGGGGAGGAAAAGGAGGCACAGTTGAAGAACTGAGACAAGAATAAGGAGTCGGAAAGTCCCTAGTGGAGCTGTAACCTCCTGTCCTCAGCCCTGGAGCTCAGGCTAGCCCAGCCTGACAACAGCAGCGACCAGTATCAACCACAGTCGCCTCCCAAGAGAGAGACCCTGGCAGCTAAGGGCAGGTCTGTGAGGCTTCCTGCTACAATGGAGTCATTTTGAGTGTCATAGTGTTCTCAGAGGCTGGGATGGGGATAAAAGCCCAATCAATAGCACCTGTGTCTGCCCTCCCATCTCTGAGTCGGTAGGGAGGCATCCTTTCACACTTGTGTGCATATTTTGTGTTTGCTTCGTGTCCTCTGCTTTCTGCCTTGCAGATAGTAGGGCTTCACGAGATAATGTGAGAAGAAAAGGGGCATTTCAGATCCTAAGGGGGCCACGTGCAGGAAGACAGACAGGCAAGCAAGCAGACAGACCCACCCCCACACACACGCACACATTCTAACCCCACCACTAGGAGGCGCCCGAGCACACAGACGTGGCTGCCTCTGAGCAGAGTTTGTATTTGTTCTCCGATTTAGCAGTCCGGCCCAGGTGAGAATTCTGCACAGTTGGTCAAGGGCTGGGTATGAGTACCGACTCTTCTACGCCGAATGTTGTTTGTTACCGCGGTCGCCCCCTGCCATCCGGCAGCACTGCTACATCTCTAGCTGGGAGGATTTCGGGTGTAGAATGTGAGGCGGCGGCGACTGAAGAGCCCTGGGAAGGGAAAGTACCCAGAGACAGAAGAACCTGCATCCCTCGGCTCTCCATGTGGTTTCTTCCTGGCTGCTGTGTTTGTTTCCTACTCTGTCAACAAAGAAAGACCCAAGCTGATAAAGGGTGGGGATGCGGTGGAACCTCGCCGCCTGCTGGCTCTCCCTCCATGGTAGCCTGAGGAGCCGAGGAGGAAGAGACCTGATTCACCCAAAGCACAGGTGTACCGGGCACTGAGCTGAGTCAGGGCTGAGTGAGGGGGTGGGAAAGGAGGCGGGCGGGGGGGGGGGGGGCGCGCGGGGAGATTCGCTCACCCGCCGGGACAGCGAACTTGCAACCACACACTCGCTTTCCCTTAGTTCAAATATCCCAGTCCGACTTTCCCATTGTTGGTTCGGATTCGGTCTCCGACGGTCTCCCAGAACTCCCCCTCCTCTACCACCACCAAGAAGTCCTTGTCAGGAAAGGGCAGAGAGTGCTAAGGTGACCTGAACCTCCCTGAGAGGTCAACTGCACAGAGGGCGCTCTCCGTCCTCTGAGCACCAGCCTCACTTCTCAGGCCACGTGGAGAGCAGACCAGGATGGCAGGAGCACCCTTGGCCGGGTGGGGACCCACTTAGGTAGGCAGGTGCACCGAAGATGTAGCCTCACTCTGGAGACGGAAGTTTTCTGGGTTATCCCCACTTGGCCCTCCCTGCCCCTTCCTTATCCATATTTCCTGCTCCTCCTCTGCCGTCCAAACCGGACCCCTAAGGTTCAAGAAGTCCAAAGGCTGGAAAAGTGCACTGTGTAAATATATTGACTTTATTTGTGTCCATTCGGACGCCTCACAGACAACATCCAGGTAAAAAGACCGTTAAATAAAACGCCTTCAGCTATTGCAATGCAAAAATAAATATCAATCCTTCGGCTGCAGCAGCAGGCGCGCTGCGCCCCAAGTCTCCTCTGCCAGCCCAACAATTATAAAAGTGTTCAGCGAGAGTGTCGCGTGAGTGTGAACGGATGTGCGCTGGGGGTGGGGCACAGTGGAGCGGTGTGCAAAATCGGAGTTGCAAACCAAAGGCTTTGCAGCGGCGACCCCAGGGTCGCGGCGAGCCGACTCAGCGCGGGCCGCCTCCTGCGCACACTCACAGCAGAGTTCTTACTGGGAAAGAGTTAAAAAATAAACATTTACAAGGGCAAAGAAAGCGACTCCCCTCCCTGGCGTCCCCGAACGGGCTCCGGGGCTCCGGCGTGTCCTCGGCCGGGCGAGAGTCAGAACGAGCGAGGAGTGCAGATCCCCCGTGGTCGGGGCCGCCTCGGGGTGCGGGTACCCTCCGGGTGTGCCCGCTGCTCTCTGGCGCGTGGTGGCGGAGCGAGTCCCCAAATCAGCTGCTGCCTCACAGGGCCGAGTCGGAGTCGCTGGAGTCCAGGCTGTTCCTCAGTTTGCAGCTGCCGAGTGGCTCCCTCTGCAGCGACAGGCTCTGCGTGCTGCGGCGCAGGCACTCCAAGCTCTGCAGGAACGACTTCTTGGCCTTCTCCTCCTCCATCGGGGACACCCCCTCCTCTTCCACCTCCTGGATCTCGTCGAAGGTCACCGGCTGCGTCTTGAAGCGGGACTGGCGCGGCCGCCGCAGCCGGCCCTTGCCCTTGGGCAGCTTGGCGGGCCGCACGGGCTGCGGGAACTCATCGGCCAGGCACACGAAGTGCGGCATCACCGCCTGGTAGTTGGAGCAGATGCCCATGAGCTCGCCAGGCTTGGCGGCTGCCATGGCGCCGTCGGTG